CAGAGCTTCAAGGACTGTGTCCCGCTTGTTTATCATGAAGATTTGGAGTCATATATTCAGAGAATTGCAGATGGCGCTTCTTCCCCTATTCTCACTGGAAAGCCAATCAAAACCATTTCCTTGAGGTACTTTTGCAATTTTTTTCATACCAAGTTTTGTTTTGATTCATAGTATTAGAGATTTTGTTGTGTTTTACTAATGAGATTTTTGGTTGGTTGTATGATGTAGCTCTGGTACTACTCAGGGGAGGCCCAAGTTAATTCCCTTCAATGATGAATTGTTGGAGACGACAATGCAAATTTATCGCACTTCTTTTGCCTTCAGAAACAAGTAATGAAACTGTCTTTTCTGTTCTAGAATCTCTTCTGCCTTGTGTTCGGAAATTGATTGTGGTCTGGTCTCTGAATCATTTCTTGTCTGAACTGAATAGCTTAATGGTTTATTACGTTATTGATTGTGGTCTGGTCTCTGAATCATTTCTTGTCTGAACTGAATAGCTTAATGGTTTATTACGTTTGTTATCCTTTTACTAAATAGTATAAAATGGGTTCTACAGAGAATTTCCCATTAGAAATGGAAAGGCCTTGCAGTTCATCTACAGCAGCAAGCAGTTCAAAACTAAGGGGGGTCTGGCAGCAGGAACTGCAACAACGAATGTTTACCGTAGCGCGAAATTTAAAAGCACGATGAAGACGATCCAGTCACAATGCTGTAGCCCAGATGAAGTCATCTTTGGCCCTGACTTCCATCAATCTTTGTATTGCCATCTCTTATGTGGGCTGATCTTCCGGGATGAAGTTCAGTTTGTGTTCTCCACTTTTGCACACAGCATTGTCCATGCTTTCAGGACTTTTGAGCTAGTATGGGAAGAACTCTGCGGTGACATTCGAGATGGCGTTCTCTCTAGTCGGGTCACCGCTCTCTCCATTCGTACAGCCATGTCAAAAATTCTTAAGCCAAATCCTGAATTGGCAGATTTGATCTATCAGAAATGCGCAGGATTGAGTAATTGGTATGGGCTCATACCAGAGCTTTTTCCCAATGCACAGTACATTTATGGGATCATGACCGGCTCGATGGAGCCTTATCTGAAGAAACTGAGGCACTATGCAGGCCATCTGCCATTGATGAGTGCTGATTATGGTTCTTCAGAAGGATGGGTTGGAGCAAACGTTAACCCAATGCTGCCCCCTGAAATGGCTACCTTTGTTGTGCTTCCAAACATCGGATACTTTGAATTTATCCCGCTAAAGGAGAATTCTCAAGATCAGGAGCAGGAAGGAGATGGAGGAGCTATTGTTGCAAAGGAGAACAAGCCAGTTGGTCTGACAGAAGTCAAGGTTGGTGAAGTGTATGAAATAATTGTCACCAATGTCGCAGGTAAATCCTTCCAATTCATGAAACTAGACGCTATAACATTGTTTTGTTTCCTCCAAGACAAACATGAATGAACGGTTCACTGAGTGGCTGTTGTGTTCCCACAATAGTATTCCAACTCATACAGTCCATCTCCACGTCTTTTGTTGGGTTCTTCAAATGTCAAACTTCTTTCTATGCTTCCCATGTGACTGTAGGAGGCACGCACAACAATCTCTGCCCTTTTCTTTGTCCTCCTCCATCCTACATATTTATCACTTGTGTTGTCGGGACATCATTTATTGATTGTCCACTTTTGCGAGATCCTACATCGGTTGAAGAGGAGAACAATCGTTCTTTATAAGGGTGTGGAAATCTCTCTTTAGTGAACGCGTTTTAAAACCTTGAGTAGAAACTCGGAAAAGAGTCCAACAAGGACAATTGGCTGTTACAAATAGTAACAGAGCTAAACACCGGATGGTGTGTCAGAGAGGACGCTAGACTCTCTAGGGGGTGGATTGTGCCTCTCCTTAGTGGACGAGTTTTAAAATCTAGAGAAAAATCCCAAAAAGGGAACCTAGACTTAATCCCACATGATTTCGAACCTAACTAATCCATCTGGTTGTTGCAGGGCTGTACCGTTATAGATTAGGAGACGTAGTGAAAGTGATGGGGTTCCATAACGCAACGCCAGAGCTGAAATTCATGTGTAGGAGCAACCTTCTCCTAAGCATCAACATCGACAAGAACACGGAAAAGGACCTGCAACTAGCAGTGGAGGCAGCCGGG